ATCCATGGAGACAACATATGGTCACCATAGGCATCATCGACTGTGTACATCTTGTTTTGAAATTGAAGATAGTTCAGAACATTTTCTTTGCCACTGTTCGGTCTTCGCCAGACATATGTAGATGGTACATTTTCTTTCCCTCGACAAACGGGTAAGATTCTTGAAGGAGTCTGGTAAGTTTGTAGAGGAGCAGTGAATTCCCACCCCACCTATATATCTCTATACTCTAAATCCTCTCTATAGACCTTGAGTGAAATGGGCCATACTGACTGAGTACTTGCCACCCACAATTCCATTCCATTACATATCATTCCAAGGATGTGGGTGTTTGATAGGTGATGCCTAGGGGTTAAAACACAGTTAGCCACGGACGTAAAAACGGAGAACGTGTCAACTAACACGATCTATCTTATGCTCACCACCGCATGACCGTGACGTAGACGTTGCTTTCCACTCTTTCTATCAACAGCAAGCTTGACATGTTTCTACGTACTTCTACGCTACGTTACGTACACGTTCGTGGATAACCGCGCTCTTAGTGCTAGAAATAGGCTCCGCGTTCACAGCAAAGCTTCACCAGCTTTTCGAAAGCTCTTCGTGAATGGGTGTTTAATCCTTAAGCTCGCGAAATCTGGGCAGCTTAGTAGCAGAAGGCTTTAGCTGCTGTTAAACCTAGCAGCATGAAGTCCGATCGTAAATGAGCAGTTAGAAATCCCACCAGTTTCATTCTGTTTTAAGAGCTCCATGGACTACCGTCGGGCTGCAGTCGGACTGCCCCCGGTCACATGGAAGTAGCTACTTTGCATTCGAAGGTTTTCACCTATATGTCCAGAAGCAAACCACAAAACTAAAAGTTTTTTAGAAGAAGAAAACTATCGTGGTGAAAAACCGACCAGAGTTGCCAATCCTTGGAGTAGAGGCTTCTGGATCTGGGCGATACTCCAGAGAACCAATAGTAGACCTATGTTTAGTGGTAAAGATTTCAATAAGTAGAAGAGGCCTAACCCTATTTTGATTGGTCATATTAAACATTCCACAAACGAGTAGTGAACCCCCACACTTAATTTATTTTGAATTTATTGCACCTTTACAAACATATTCACATTTAGACGGAACCTGCAAAAATTTTGCAGTCTTTACTGTTAATGGTCTTAAATTATCGCTGGCTACAATTACTTCTTTGCTATCAAGAACGCGAAACCGCCAAGCTTACGTATGTATGTACATTAGACCGCATCACCAAAAAAAGTTGCAGTTTTTCCGCTGGGATTGCAAAATTTGTTATATTTTAAGAAGTCCACCAAAATATTTCGGAAAAATATTAAGATTTTAGTGAGCTGAACCGATTTGAAAATACCCCCAAAAATGGAGTTTTTTATGAATAAAAATAGTTTCATAAAGAACTTTTCGAAAAAAGTCCCCTCAGATGACAAAACAGAATAAGTTTAAAAAATCTGCATAAAAATATTTAAAAATCTTTTCAACGGAATCGTAAGCACGAGATTTTTGATGCTGTTTTTTTTACTTTTTTCAAAGGTTGATTTACGAAAACCTTGAATAACTGGACCAAAACTATTCTGATTTAGACTTAAGGGATCTCAGTGGAAAGGTATTTTCACACTGTTTTTATTTCTGTCCAAAAAAGTCATTCGTATCCCAATTTTTTATTTTTCAAATACCAACACATCTTAATTCAACTTTGAATAACGTTCGTTCATCCTACCTTTCTCTGCCATCCTTTGAATGAGTTTATTAGCAAAGAAATAAAAACGAAGAGAAAAAACCTTTCCACTGACACCTCTTATGTCTAAATGGGAAGAGTTTAGGCTGTGTTATTAAAGTTTTTCTTATACCAATCTTTGAAAAAAGTTAAAAAACAGCATCAAAAATCTCATTATTACGATTCCGTTAAAATTTTTTTTAAATATTTTTATGAAATTTTTTTAAGCTAAAACAATTTTGACATTTGAGGGCATTTTTTCAGAAAAAAATTTTAAGAAACTATTTTTATTCATATAAAATTCCATTTTTAGAGGTATTTTCAAATCGGTCCAGCTCACGTAAATCTTAATATTTTTCCAAAATATTTTGGTGGGCGTCTTAAACCATAATAGATTTTATAATTCCAATGGAAAAATAGCACCGATTTTTTTTTTGTATGGGGAGTGATGCAGTCTAATGTATATAAATGGACTGGACTGCCTTCAGGAATGTCTTTAGCAACGTTCTTTTTACATAGTACATTGCCGTTCACCATAGTTAGTTATAGGTTTTACGCTACTACGGCTTTTATAGCAGCAACTTTTCCACCATATCCTTTCTCTTTTTTGTTGGCCTGTAATGCTATTTTTGGTGTGTACAATAAGATCATTCACACACACACACATTGACCACTTACACCATCGCATTTGAGGCACTTACTCTAATTCCAACGCCAACTTTGTAACGCACGACTCCACTCATTTGGTAGAAGTGGTTTTTTGTTCGCCATTAAATACTCGTAGCTTGAAAGATTTTACATAGAATAAGCAGAATTTCATTCGCCATGGGAAATGTGAAATTGTGATGCGCATGCGCATGCGCACGTTCACGTAAGCCACTTTGACGACCTCAAGCTAATCTTCTACTATTTCCAACTAAGAAGTTGCTAAGATGTTGCTGCTTTCATTTGTGGTTTCGATTTTATTAGCCACGCTCGACTTGTTGCCATTTATAAGATTCTATTTCATTACCTATTTCCTTTAGATTTGATACATTTTTTTTTTAATTCCTTCTCTACACTCTGCGGTTAACCTTTTTTGGAATTACGTATACAATAGACCGTTCACCTCTCATGCAACGTAGAATGGTGCAAGCAACAACAGCGGCAGCGTTGTCGTGAAGATTGCAGGCTCAGATTGCGTTGATGCGCTTTGAATGGGTTGCCTTTTGGCTTTTGCTTACTACATACATACATACATACATATGTACATACATAAATACCCGTAAGTATGTACGCGATCGCATACTTCTAGTTTCAGGTGACGTTTAGCATTTTCCTTTTCTTTTTTTTTACATTTCTTACAATTTCCCATTAATTTAATGTTTTGTTTTTCTTGTTTTTGTTATTATATTATGTGGTTTTGTTTATTTTATGTATTATTGCATTTCAGACCACAGCGCTTGCGCGATTTTCGTATGAGTAATCGTACTTGGTTATGACTTCATTTTCCCACATACATTTTTTCCGTACAGAAACAAAAAAGCGCGCACGCGAAAAACCGTTTGAAGATAAAAACTAAAAGGTAATTTATTCAAAATAAGCTTAAGTTTGTTTTTTTTTTTTTGTTCGCTGGTGTTGGCTTATTAATAGCAATGATGCTGCTGTTTTCAGTTTTAACTATGCAATTTTGCAATGCATTTCAATGGCGGCAATGTAATCGCACATCTCATGGGTAAATATTTTAAAAGCAAACACACATCCATATTTAAACAAAAAAAAAGGTTAAAAACTTACTAGCATTATAGCTTACAACTAGTAAAGCCACTTGGCTTGAAACCGCCTAATTAAGTTTAACTTTTTTAACAGGTGGCAACCCTCTTCAAAAAACATAGCCCGCACTCTTAATGTCAGCCATAGCTATAGGCAATCCAAGTGCCAAATTTTATCTAAGTCCGCCGTGCTGTTTCTGCGTGAAGAGAGGTGAGGGTTTTTTATTTCATAAAATTGCAAATCACTAAAAAAAAATGCCTAACTTCAGAAAATAAAACCGTATTGCATATACCAGTTCAGTTCTTTCATTCGACACTCGTATTTTAAGATTGCCTTTAACTTGTGGGATAATCCAAAAAAAAAATTTACTTTTAAAACCGGTGGCAACCCTCTTCGAAAGTATTTTCAAACTTAAAGAGATATATTTCGATTGACTTTGTGATACATATTTCAATTAACTGATGAATTATACTGATTTTTATTTTTTTAACACCTGGCAACTCTACTAAATAAAGTTCAGATATAAATCCTTTATAACCCCATTTCGATTGCCACGCGTTTTTTAATAATTTATTTAGCTTACTAGAAAATTTTAATTTAACCCTTTCTAAACAAATAAACAAAATCTAAATGTTCTAACTAAAGATTTCTGACACCCATATTTTATACTTTCATATATGTAGTTCAGTTTAATTCGACTTTTCAAGCAGGTGGCAACTAAGGCTAGATGGGTTCGCTTAGAGCTATGCGCACGCCAGTATTCTAAAAACCTTCGAGTTCCTACCGAATGAAACAGACTGCTGCACGTTGATTTTCGATCCGAAGGGATCTTTCACCAGCCATATTTCAGCTAGAGATTACTGGGATGGGTGCAGTATCTAGAATCTGAAACCTGTAAACGTATTTACGGATAGATCGAAGCTGAATAGGAGGTTGGTTGGATCACTGTTGCCTACCGGATTAATGTAGCGTCTTCCCAACAACGGTAGCCGCAATACAGGAGGCTTCGGATTGGTTAATCCTTAGTGTAACACCTTTCGAGGAGGTCACAAACCAGCTATTACGGCTCTTAGCTCCCTAATGATTCTCAAACGAATGAACGATGAAGGACTATTTGGTCTTCTTATCGACCGCAGCGGAATACTACTCTACCAAGCTCATTTGGGTTCCGGATCATAGCGAAATCGCTGTAAACTTTATGGCCGGTGAGCTAGCAAGGCAGGGAACCCTTGAGGAAGTACTGCCGTATTGAGCGAAAGTCTGGGTGCTCCTCAGACCTCGTCTATGGTCTATTCCTGCACAGATTGGTGTTTGGTCAGCTCAGTGTGCGCTAGACGAAGACCTTGGAATGCAAAATAGTTAAATCGATCGGAGGCAATCCAGTGAGCTCTTAAGACTAAGCAAATTACACCTTTCGCTTTTGATCGGAGTTCTAACTGGTCATTGTGTGATAGGTAAGCGAGCGGTAAGGCTGAATAACATCGATGACCGTTGCTGCACCAGCTGCATGAAGGGCGGTGAGGTGGAATCATCTCAACACCTGCTGCTCTGGTTACCTGCCGTTGCGAGTCAAAGGTTCTAGCACCTATGGTCGCTCTTTTCCCACTCTCCCTGTGCGCTTTCGGGAATGGATATCAGTAGCTTGAGGATCCTCGTAGTTAGCATGGAGGGTTTTTTCTTATAACTTAGGTGTCATCACGCTGTTCTTCCCCCTCGCTTCCTCTGATTCTACTACACTCCTCTGATACTTTTACCCTTCCTGACGTCCTCCTGACAAATGCTATTTTAAGCAGAAAACTTTTGTATGGGGCCATCCAGAAATGAAAACTACGATCATCCAGCATTTTATTTATTAACTAGAACTAGTTCAAAACCAGCATACTTCTCCCCATAGCAGGTTCAATACAAGGTTTTTTAGTATGCATAGTATGTATGTAAATATATACATATGCATATAATATATATGTATGTGCTAAGGTATGCTACCTATATGGTGAATATGTAATTAGAACTCCGGTAGTTGTCTGATTATAGTTCTTTGCGCCACAAGCTGATTATTTATCAGCAGCAAAAAGGTGTTAACTTCAACAGCGTTTTAAATTAACGGAGCAAATAACATTTTACTTAAGTAGTACATACATATTTACATACTAAAACCATTAACTTTGTATGTGATACCTTGTATATACATATGTATGTATGTTGTACATATCTACCTCCATAATACCTCTATGTATAAATGTATGTATGTATGTATGTATAAGAATATATATTAACACTTGACTAAATACACATTTATGCACAAATACAGTTTTATAACAAAACAACTGTGTTTAAAGAACAAGTACATATGTATGTAGTAGGCAAGAAAAAACGACCAACACAACCAACAACAACAAAAGCTAAACTAAACTAATGTTAGCTTTTTGTAAAGTACAACAAAAACAAACCAAGCGAACGATTGAACCTTAGACCTTTTTTTAACCGGCTGTCGTGCTTTGCTCTTCCCAACTCCTTGGTTCTTACGTTTCCCTAATGCTCGTTTCCTCACTTATCATTCCAGTTTTGAAGTGGAATAGTACATAGCTGCATACAAACATATGTATGTACATACATATTTATTACATAGAGGAAGCCAAGTTGAAGTTGAAGTTTAAACCGCTTTCGTATAACCTCGAGCTTACGAGTCTACTAAATATGTACGGTGACGAAAACATAAATAGGGATGCGACATTTTAACAAGTTTTGGATACTATTCTTTTCTTTATTTAATGTTTACTAGTTTTTTATGAAAGTATAGCGCGTTATCTAACAAAAACCATGTAAGTCCGAATTTCAAGCGTTGTGCAAATATTAGGGAAAATTCGATGAATTTCAACAAAATTGCAGCAAAGTTGTAAACTTTTTAAACAAAATTTTTAGAAAAAATCTTAAAATGCAATTTTATTGCCTTGATATTAGTTTTTAGTATAATAAAGTGCAAGTTTGAAGAGGCTAGGGCTTAATGTTGTTTTTTGGCAATTTTTTTGTTGACGGTGTTACACATTTTTTCCATAGAGAAAAAGACCTAACTACTTCAAGCTTGCACTTTAATATACAAAAATTGAATCCGCTAAAAAACTGCATATTCAAAACTAAGAAATATAATTACAAATTTAGAAATTTTGATGAAACTTTTTCGATTTTTCCAAATTTTTGTACAAAGTTTGAGATTCGGCCTTAAATGGTTTTCGCGCTATATTTACTTCCACGAAAAAATAATAAACATTAAATAAATAAAAGAAAAATAGTAAAAACTTGTTAAAATGTCGCGTCCCTACTTACATATGTTTTCGCCACTGTATGTACCTACTTATAAGTAGTATGCAAAAACCAAAAACAATGCATAGCACAATAAAAAGAGAGAGAAGGCAGTTAAAACGTAAAACCAGAACAACAACAAGGGAAGACTTAAAAGAAAGGAAGACACACAGACAGTTAAGTGAGTCAGTCAGCTGCGAGCTGTTTAAAGACAGTTAATTTTTTTATTTTTATTTTTTGTTTATTTCATACTACGAGTTTGTTTGTACTCGTACGAGTGCAAAAAGCAAGGTAAATGAATGTGGAAAGGTCCGCTAATTTGAATTGGGTGCAAAAATACCGACGATTGAGTTGTGAAAATTTGCAAAATTGCAATTTTAGCAAAGCTGTGTCGAGTCGAAGAAAATTTACTATACATACCTTGCTCCACTAAATCTGCGTTCACCCTTGTTTTTCTTTTTTAACTATTCACAATGTTTTGCAAGCTATAATTTTTTTGTTGTTTTTGTACAAAAATATGGTTCATGCTACAAACAAAACCATAACCATATAAATCAAGGCTTCAAACTGTATACAATATTAAGGAAAATTTTATTAATTTTCATCAAAATTTTAAACTTTTTACTCAGATTTTTTACGAAAATTTTTGTGATGCAGTTTTATAGCCCATTGAATTTTAGTACAACAATGTACAAATTTGAGGTGGCTGAGAAATGGCGTTGATTTTTAATAATTTTTTTGCTGGCGGCTCTACGTATTTTCTTCCATATACCTAACAAAACATTCACTCATACCCTGTATGTAGAAAAATGCCTAGAGCCGCCAGCGATTTTAGTTAATTCCAATGATTTGAAAGGTACTCCGCTGAAAAAAAACTGTATTCGTAATCAGAATGCAATCACAAACCGAGCGTATTTAGGAAACCCGACAGTTGCTAGGACAAAGAATTTCAAACGTATGTTAAAGAAAGTCAGAATAACAAGAAATATGCATGTAGAATAGGGTGGTATAAAAACAGTAAAGTCGGAATTGTAATACTCTCACCCCCTAGGATTGTTCTATATCGAAAAAGTTCACCCCTATTTTTTTTATGTTGAAATCAAAAAATATGTAGAAGTCGCTCAAAGCGATCAAAGTTTTCCATGTATTTTTATATGGGAAAAATAAAACTTTTCGTAAAAATGGTATAGAATTCTTGAAAATCAAAATTTTTCGATCGGAAAACTCTGGTTCTCTTCAGTAGACTTTCAATAATAATACCCAATTATTACTTTTTCACATGCATGATAATAACAACCGACAACACGTTATAATTGTAGCGAGTTTGAATCACAGAAGCCTGCCTACCCTTTTCATCCAATTAAAACACGTATTTGGGCAATAAAGGTGGCACGCTCTTGTTACTCACACTCGTTACAATTATAACGTGTTCTCTTTTCTTCTTTTCTGCGTTCTTTGATATGGGATAATTCTTGCTGCTTTTTACGACGAACAGACCTATTGGTTGCCGCTGTGGCTGAGTGGTTAGAGGTGCGTACTAACACTTAGTAGGACCTGGGCTCGAACACTAGCCTAACCTAATGTTTAGCTCAGACGTATAGCTCGTAACGTCACTCCATCCAAAGAGTTTCAAAACCAACATAAGCAAATTCGTCAATAGACATATCGATGGCTGAGTGGAAGATCGATCTATCTAGGCAGCCGCCCTACCTCAGAAAACTTTTCAAGAACGCCCTATCGCAACTGAAAATATATTGGAAATACGTTGAGATAGGGCATTTTTAAAACTTCAGCTGAGAACCGAATTCTGGAATAAGGCCTTCTTCTATCAAATTCTGAGATGGGGCGGTCTTCAACCGAATTCTGAGATAGGGCGTCATAGAAATTTATTCTGAGATAGGGTTTTTCGAACCAGCTGCTGAGTTAGGTCGATCTTCGACTCAACCGTCGATATATAGTATTATTTTTTTTTTAACTCAATATCATCCTACCATATCAATAGCTGTAATCAAAGGTGTAAGCAGAGTAGCCGAACTATGCTCAGGCGACGCCGCTACCAACTATCCAAAACGCTGAAAGGATTTAACAGCTTTTCATGCCAATGTTTTCTTCCAGCGTTTGACGACAAGAAATAAATTACTATAAATTTTAAAAGCCGTTCTTTTGTTAAACAAACGATTTATTTAAAATATGTTTTCGAGTATTTGCATCGTTTTTCCATCAAAGAAACTATTTTCAGATTTTTATTGCCGAAATAACCGATAAAAAAATTATTTTGTTTTGAAATGGCGAGTCAGCTTCTATCTTAAAAAAAAGCTCTACGCACGTTTTATTTTTAGTTTCTCCAATTTGGAATAAGTCCTTTTCAAGATCTTGAAAGAACAATTTTTTCGATCGCCTGCTATAAAGTAAGACAAGTTGATGTTGAAAAAATAAACAAACTTAACATGCAATTTGCAGCTCAAAAGCAAGAAGGTAAAAAAAACACACAAAAAAATTAAGTTCAACAATGAGAGCAATTCCAAGAATCAATTTCAAAGCCATGTATAGTAGAGACAATAATCAGGAGGACGCCGGTAAAGTGCAGAAAACAACAACAACCAAAAAGTAATGGTCATTGCAATGCATTGAACTCGTGAAGGTGAATGCAAAAGTAATCGTAAATAATAAATATTCCTCAGCCATGAATGCAAGAAAAAAGGGTGTCCATAAAAAGTTAATAATGCACTGAATATGTATGAATGCACTAGCAGGAACGCTAATTTATACATTAACTAAAGGGGATTCACGTGTTGTGGCATTTGGCAGATTGCAAGGACAGTCAAATTGATGTACATATGTATATGTAGTATTAGGATGGTCCTTAAAATATCAACAAAAAAATATTTCGTTTGGGGCACTCCGTTATTAAGTTATACGTACGAAACTAAAACATCCACTGAAATTTTAAACTTAAAAAAAATACGTAAGTATATAGGGGTTCGAAAAAACTTTAATATTTTTTAAACGCAAAACTTCGACCATAATTTTTTTCTAATTTTCAAAATTTACGTGGAAGTTTTTATGTTTTACGTAGAACACGATGAAGCTATGTCTCATGATGTTGACATTTTTAAGGACTGCCCTAATATATACTTTTGTATATACCACATATTCTCAATGTACCTATGTACATATGTACATATGTATGTACGGAAATTGTATGTGCATGCATTCCCACATATAGGACTGCAAAAATGAAAGGAAATGCTGCAGTCAGTTGAACATTAGGGTGTTCCTTATCCCATAAAAAGGGATAAAGTAAAATTATATAAAGCAAATGCTGTTTGTAAAACATTTTTAATAAACATTTTTTTAAATGACGAAGACTGAAATCTCAGTTTATTTTGTCCAATACATAGAGTGAGTGCTGTTTTCACTAATTTGTCCAAAATATACCTTGATTACACTATGCGACAGTCAAAATCGGGATGGGATGAAACCAACGGGAAATGTTATATCGGTCAAAAACAAGTTATACGTGTCCCGGCGTTTCGCTGGGTCAACGGCGTTTTATTGAATTTGAAACGCTGGGCGACGCTGGGCACAACTTAGTCCCTTAGAAAAGGTCCTAGCGTATTGGGATACACATAACACTTGAAAAGAAATACCTGTTTGGGCTCGGAAAGGAATTGAAAAGCAGAGCCTTCTCTCGATGTACAAAAATCTCGCTCTACAGAATTTAAAAATTTCAAATATCGTAAAGCAAAAACTTATAAATAATTTTGGCTAAATTTTTTTTGAAAAAAAAGACAAAGCAATTGCTTTTTCTTAAAATTTCAGACCTTTTACTCGATTTATTCAAAAAAAATTCCGACCTCTAACTAAAGTTATGTTAAACAAATATTATTCAATTTAAATTTATTTTTAATTTAGATTTAACAATAAATTTGTTTTCAAAGTTCAAAAATTCAAATTTTTAAAAATTAAAAAAAACGTCTTCTTCGAAGCAGGATCTTTAACATTAAAACATAGCCACAAATATATGTAAGTTTTTGCTTTTTTTAAATTTCAAAATTCTCTAATTTATTTATTTGCCGAATATCTTTAAATATATTTTTTTTTATATACCCCAAGTAACACCTATAAAATGAGACCATTTTTCTAACTACATATAACAGCTTTTGGGGTATTCAAATAATAAACTTCTAAAATTCGTGAAATTGTGGAACGTAAAAAATTTTATTCCGCCTTTGGCAGATATGTTCGATAAAAGAAAAGTACTGGCCAAAATTCAAATCAAATATGGTCGACTCCAATCCATGTCTGTATGTACATATCAACCCTTTGCGCGAAATTATGTGTCAGAAACCAAATTTTACAGAAAAGCGTTTTTTCTAGATACTGTACATTTTTTTTAGTTTTTTTTTTTTATTAAGCAGGTGATGCGTTATGGGATGCAGAACAAATTTGCAGCAAAAAAAACATTTCAAAGAAATTGCACATACGATAATTTCGCGCAAAGGGATCGATATGTAACTCAGCGAATCGACGAAGCAAAATATTTTTTAACATACATAGGTACATCCTTAAATACATACACTGCCGGAACAAAGTATTGGCCCAGCAAATTTTTGACAATATATGCAACAATTTTTGTTCTAAAAATTTTCCGCCAATTTTGTATAAAAAATATGGTTTATTCTACAACAAAAAAAAAAACATAAAAATATAATTCCTAAACTTTGTGCAAAACTCGCGAAAATTCAGCAAATTTTCAACTTTTGGGTATGCAGATTTGTAGCCCAATCAATTTTATTATAATAAAGCATAAGTTTTAGGTAGCTAGGAATTACCGTGGATTTTTAGCAATTTTTTCATGCAGTCTGTTCCATGAAAAAAAAAATCGAAAATACTTTATATGGAAAAATGCAAAACACTTTCAACTAAAAAAAATCTCAAAAATCAATGCGATTTTTTACTAATTCGAACTTGCATTTTTTTAGTACAATTTAATGGGCGGCAAAACTGCATACATACATACATACATACACTCAAAAATACTTATGAACGGCATTTAGGAAAATATTGAATTTTCATGGTACGTATGGATGTATTTAGGTCGGCGATGACCACAGTAAACGTTCACTCCATACGCGTCCGTATAAAATCTACAGAGAGCATAAAAAGCTCCTCCCGAGGGATATGTTTTAATTATGACTGATACACCCTAATGTGCATACATATGTAAATATGTATGTATGCTTGCACATGTATGTATGCGCATAAATATGAACATAACCGAGCCAGACTCCATTGAAAGATCCAAAATGAGACGCTAAACAAGTTGAACACGTTTTAGGGAGTTTTCCCGTTTTTGTGCGCCATAACCATTATACCTGTGGTCGTAAGCAATAAACGCCTAAGTCGACTTAAGAAAGAATTGACTTATATATGCGCTATCGTATTCTCCAACTACTATTCCATGCGTGTGAGAAATCCCCATCTCGCCAGCTAGGCTACTTAAAAAGTTATAGATGAAAATTTATTGATTTCCCCATAAGGCTAACAGTACACTGCAAATGTTTAGAACGTTTTTTCTCGAAATCAGGTTTTTCGACTTGGGCGGTTATTGCTTATGGCCACAGATATTATTTTGCAGTACATTGCAAGATCGCATAGAGATTTGGATTCACTGACACATACATACATACATACATATGTAAATAAGTGGCTATGTGTGCTGTGCAGATATGCTTACATACATATGTACACATATATATTTAAGCTTGACCCCCAATAATAGCTTTTCCTTCTTTCCTTTACCTTTTATGTTTTAGCTGCTTCTCGCTCAGTGATTCCGATTGTCTCAAGCAGGATCCAACACAGAACTTTTAGCCATGTTGTAAGAAAAATTTAACGCGACACTAACAACAATTTGATTCAGCACCCCAATTACGTTGGTTTCATCAATTCAACACGCAAATGCAATTTTACTCCCTTTCAGGTGGGGATTTTTTTTTCTTATTTCGTCACTACTTTTTTTTTATTCAAATCCTCACTTGTTTTGTACTTCTTAATTTTTCTCTTCCCTTTCTGAGTGTGTTTTTTTCAACGTTTTCGAAGCCTTTTTTCCCAACCCGCGCACAGAACAACGAACAAAATACTATAAAGCTGATGCCAGATAAAACTTTGTAGCTTTGCGTGACATTTATAAATTTGCCAGCAAAGCGCCAGACGCAAAAGGTATGCCACAATGAACGCCAAGAAATCAATTTTGCACTGCTTTTTTACTCGTCAAAATTGCTGTGGATTTAAGATATTTTGCTTTAAAATTATCAGCAATGTAATTGAGTTTTATGTTTCAGCATGAATACTCGAATTTGGACGAAACAAAATAAATATTAAACCGGCTGATTGTCAAAGCGCGCAAAAAGATGGGAGTTGGCCATCTTTTCGCTTCGCGCTGCAGCTTCAATGATCTATGTGGCATGCTTTGTGCATTTTCATACAATTCATCTTAGCTGTCAAAGCGAATCTGTCACGTAAAGCGAAGCAAACGTTTTATGTGGCATCAGCTTAAGCGCGTCTCAAATTTGAATTTTAAATCGGATGTACTGACGCACAAGTACGAATACGTACGCTCTCATGCACAAAAAAGGCCGTTGCATATGATATGGCGTTGACGCCAACAACAACAACAACAGCACATGAAATGCATGGCAGCTGTGTAGTTGGCAACGAAAAAAAAAACAAAAAAAACACTAAAAATGTTAAAACAATTTGTTTTATATGCAAAAATTTTTTGTTTGTAAATAATAAAAAAAAAGCACAAAAGCACACGGGCGCTCACTTTACCGTCTTGAAGTTAACGTTTTAACACTCAGAATCGCACTGAAGCAGAACTTGCCGGTGGCGTTCACTTCCAGCTGCTTGGCCACAGAGTCGCCGCCACACCAACACAACCAGAGTCGTCGGAGCAGCAGCAACGGCTTTCGTCAAAAGTCAAACGACTTTCGTCACGCAAAGCGGGGAAGCAAATTGGCGCCGGTTACTTGTAGCTGTGGAGCTGAATGCAGCGAGAGGAAAACGTCTTATTATCAGTGCCACTGCATTGGACGCTCTTTTTCCGGAATACATACTTAGTAGTATATGCTTAAGTATAGCGGGAGAGTAATATTTATTTGCAAGCCCCAAAATGTGATCGTCGTCAGCGGCTCTTAACCGTTTTGTTCGGTACTGGCGTTTTTATACTTACACAAGTTTCATAAAATACATTAAAAAGTAAGCCTCCACTCCTCAGTGTTTTCAATGGTGGTCTGGAATCTTCGTTGCCGAGTATTCCTTATTTTCTTTCCTTTGCTTCACTGAATTATAACCAAGGGTCTGTTATGGCTTATCCATAGCTTTTTTGGATTAATGCCTTCCTGAAATGTCTAGCCGTCAGCACTCTTGATAGAATTTTCACATGGTATCAATGTTGGGGACTTGCCTGCAGCTACCAATGCCCGTAAAATATCGCGGAAAAGCACCAATATTCAATGAGCTTGGACAAGTTTAACATCTACCTTAGATAAGGTACATAGTCGTCCCCAGTTTGAGACAAACTTAATGTACATCCAGATCTTTTTCACGATAAACACTACTCCATTAAAGGCGGGAAGCTTTTCACAAAGTTGTGGAGACGTCTAATATCCATCTCAAACACCTCCTCAGGGTTGTTTTTTAAGTGCGAATGAAGATAATTCACTCTGTTGAGGTGTTCTCTGAGCCGCCATAAGACTTGTATGTCCAACAGCGAACCCAAAGTGATCAGTAGCACTTCGACCCGCTCTACGCACATTGATATCTTTACACCATCGTATCCTTTGTTGACCACTGTATAGTTAGCCATCCTATAATTATAAAATATTGCAACGAAATTGAGAGGGAGAGCAGACCCTGGCCAATTTTTACACCGCCACTCCTGCCTGGAACACGTCTAAACTTAATTTTCATGGAGATCTTATCGCAGAAGATCCATTCGCAAACCCTTCTCGCGAACTTCGACCCATCCGCTCTCTGTTAACTCCCTTCAGCCACAGTTATCCCTTAAGGGAATGAATGTAAAGTGAGAGCTTCTTGGAACCATTTCATACACAGAGTACTCCGTAAAATGGATAATGAAATTGAGACTTTAGCAAGTTTTACAGATGTTGAACATGTTAGGCATTCGGTTCGTCTGGTGGCAGCCCGTGCTGTGGCAGTTTTGCGGGCAAAGTAAACCGGTGCACGTTGTATCCAGCATGGCGTTAAACATCAGAGTGGGAGATGTCCGTAATGCACCAATAACAACAATGAAGGCAGCCCGCTCGTTCGCGCTCTATCTGCATAGCTGCAAAGTGAAGCTCTCTCCATGAAAGTCCACCAAACGTGGAGTCCATGAAAGAATTATGGGCTTAGCCATGGTTTCAAGAAACCAAAAAATTACTTTGCGCGGGAGACTCCTTCTCTTACCAATAGCTCCTTTGCAGCCATGTAGCAATTGATGCCTTTCTTATTATTTCCTCAAAATAATATTTCCACAATAGCTCTCCATCCAGGATTGGGCGGAAGTACTTAAGCCTGTCGGAAAGCTGCAAGCGCACATCCACCAAAGGGGCAGATTTATCTTGAAGATCTTGTGATATCTACTGAATAAGACCAGTGCTGTTTGACTTTTATTCACCAGGTTTATATACGAGTAACCTTGTTCACCTCATATCAAGGCCCTTTTAGGTCTTCACAGCGCGTTTGAGTAAAGTACTGGACACTTTAAATGCGCTAAATGCCTGAAGAACTCAGTGTGGAGTTCTATCCTTAGATGTTCGGTCGGCGTAGGCTTTGCTTTCGCCACCTCGAAGAAAAATCTCCAGGCAATTGACAGAGACTCTGCGGAGTTGAAAGCAGAATACCTATGCAGAGACGCCGATCTATATAATTTTCTGGTAGTGAAGGTCTAGTACAAGGAGTAGGGTAGCAAAAGTACATAAGCATCCGTCAAACGATTTCCCTTGTTCCAAACATCACCTTTAGCGGGTCCAATTTGCCTTCGAGTGGTCTAGCTTTGCCGGTGTCTGTAGAAAATGGCTTGCCTTCGATGAGTTTTGACTTACTGCCCGAATATGCTAAAAACAAAAAGCCGTAAAACACGCTGACGACAAACCTTCCAATGTTGCAATGGGCATCGCAATATTTAACGCCCTGAACTACCAAAGGGAAGTTAGATTCAACTTCCTCTGGGTCTAGTTTCTAGAATTTGGTAAAAGCAGGTACACCTTGTGACGGATGCGATTACTCGTTTCCCTTCTCGATCAGGGTGGAAGAGTGGCTACGCGTATGAGGAACTTAAATGAATAGCACGTTGGATGCATCGGGATGATCGTGGATATATAGGAATTTAACCTACTGCACTATCCAATACGGGGTTTGCCCAGAATAACGTGGGTCTAACGAACCAACTCGAAGTCTTTTCCTGCTATTAATTATTGTTGTAGCGGCTTACATAGCCCTGCCTAGATTAGCTTGTCACATAGTCGTTGTGGTCAAGTTCAACCAGCGGGGAACCCAAGAAGTGTGCCACTCCCACTGAACGAGCATTCCAAGCTTTGATGAGGCCCATCTGCATTTAAGATACTCAGGAAGTTTAGCCTGCTGCAGTAACCAGAGCGTAGTGGTGCTAAGGTGTGGGAGTCTCCCGAGGCAGACGAAGTTCTGTCACGTTCACGGCAGGTGGCTGCATTACAAAATGGGCATTCATAGGTCAGGAGTTGATGTATGATGAGGCCGACTCCCTGTGAATATCGATCAAGGTCTGTCAATGCGTTGTCGGGTCCAGTTGTGGTTTTATTAAGCACTGGACGTCGTCCTTCAGTTCTTATAGATGCCTTCTGACCTACCTATGCAAAAGCTCTGCAGCAAGAAGATGCCTGTTCAGGTACACACGTCTAGAACTGCTTGTATAGCATAGTATTGTGCTCCTTGACGAGGAGCGTATGGGTCGCTGGTGGTAGTTGATGCTTGGGCGACATCAGAAGGCATACTGTGTCGCTGCGAAGTGCCGCGTTTTGGTAGGCCTGTATCTTCATCCAATGCGTCCTTCTAGTCCCCGGAGACCACTCAGGCGCTGCACAGTTTAGAACTGGGTGGCCGAATGCCTTGTATCTTGCCAACAACGTTTATTTTTCTTTGCCCTAGGTGCTGCCGGCTATCGACATGAGGACCCTTTTGCGGCTCTACTCTATTTACAATTGCGGTTGTGTGCGCCGATGAAGAGAGCAGACTGTCGAATTCCCAGCTTTAGTCGGATCTCTTTCGTCGGGGTGGTGAAAAGGGTTGGCAGGGTTAAGGCGCCTTACAGTGAAGTAGTGTGAAAGTTCGAAGAGGTAACCTTCTATTGGTGGTAGTCTACGATGAAGGCATTCTTGGGACGAGTCCTTGTGGTTTCGCGGATACTGTTCAATAGGTTCACTGTGAGGGCTTCTGAAGTGTCTACGAGGCGGATCGACTTCGAAAATTCTTGGGCTTATCCGAGCATTAACAGCCCTGCTGTAACCTCAGACTTTACTGGTAGCTCAAGTGCTGTCTTTGATTTATTCCATCGTCCTCGTAAAGAGGTTTTAGATTCCATGGATTGAAAAAGTGGGAGAGGTCTGAGATATAATTTCACTTAAGAAACGGCTCATGGCTCGACGACGAAATCGAATAGTCATCAGCGTGTAAGATCAGAGGAAAACCCTCTAGTGGAAGAGATGGATGGAGTTTTCGGATAAAGAAAGGTTAAACAGTTGCGGAGAATATCACTCATTGTCAGTTTACCATTCAGATATGTAATTCGGCGATCTACTAAAACTTCGCCGAATTAGCGGTAATGAAAGATTTATCGAAATCTTCAAGCATAATTATGTGACTAGACCTAGTCGAAAGCTTTCAACAGTTCCGGAGCTTCTACGATCATTCTCTCAGATAATGAGAGCTTCTATGCGCTTCATGGCAATCATGCTTCTGTATCGCTGGGCTCCGAGGATGCGTAAAGGATGTTAGTAACAATACTTCAACTGTATTCTTTTCAGGAGAAAGCGGAGATATTGGACAATATAATTCTCCTAGGTTGGCTGCTTTTTCTGATTTTGTCTCAGCTTCTCCACCGATGAGCAGAGTGTGTGCGCACTAGAAGAAAACTACATATGTAAGTTAAATACAATTTTTTGTTTATATTTCAATACTCTTTTTTTGATAAATTTACACATACTTTATTGCATTTATAATTAATAACTGTTAATAACGTTTTCATACCATTCTCATATCTATACTGAAAAGCAATCATTTGTCACAATGTGTACTAAGCTAAGCATAACATTCGTAAAAAAATAATACACAATATTCAAAATTATTTTTTACGCAATTTTGTTCTACCCATGTATCATGGTTCTACCAAACCACATATTTTTTTGTTATAAACAAATTTAATGCGAACGCGCTATGTCGGAGAAGAAGTTTAATATGTCCTGTATATTGAATTCCAAAGTAATCATCGCACCCGCATAGCATTTTTGTATGCGTTCTTCCAAGAAATTATATTGCGCAATAAATTCCTCTTGCATGGCATGCCAAACCACCTGCAGTAGATTTTCCTCTTCGCAAAGGTGCTTTTCAACTTTTTTGTACAGATTTTCTAGTCCCTTTTTAACTTCACGTGCCGGGTATTGACTGATAACTTTACGCAATTCTTGCTTTGAAAAAGCCATTTGATAACTAATCTCTGTTTCTTTAACACCTTGTGCGACTTTTTGTTGCACACCCTCGAAAAAGAGCTGGAAATAAAAAAACAGATTTGGTTATGTATTTCAAATACAATTCTGTTGGTACTAAAAATCCTTACATTCAACTTTTCCAATGGTCTGCCAAAGTATTGTATGACATATACTTTAAGCGCTTCATTATAACGCATTTTAGCTTCCTTTTTCAATGCATCCAGACCGGGCACCTTTAATTGTGCCAGTAAGGAATACATGTGATGATAGTTTTCCATGCGTACCACTTGCGACGGTGTTTTAGGATGTTCCTGCGCATGCACGCTAATACTCTCAAATATTGAATTCACCAATTGTAAATACCACTTTTCCATATCAGTGCGGCGATCAGATTTGCGAAATATGCCTTCAGATGTCTGAGCGAAATACTCAAAATTCTCTACATATGGCAGTATACCACACTTGGAACGTTTAGGCACTTTTGCTTCTTTAATCGATTGTAATTGTTGTTGCATAAATCGATCGAAATTTCGCTTGACTTGAACCAGCGCTGAAGCGAAGGTCATACTAAGGAAGGAATGTGTATCCTGCGCGGACATGACATGCTGCGTTAGGCGGACAAGCACGTAAAGTGAATAGCTAGGTCATTTTTAAAATAAAAATTAAATATTAAAAAGAATTTAGCTAAAATCGAGGCACATGAATTACACTTACAAACTATCGATGCGTTCGAAGCTTTGTATGAAGCTAACCAGTTCTGGCTCTAAGCAGCCAAACAAGGCAATCATCAATTTACGAACCTCTTCGTTTATTTGACGATCAATTTTCTTTTGTGGAAAACCTGCACGTAAAAGCGAGACAATAACTACATTTACATAACGCAATAGAAATTTCCAACTCACCGCCTGCATCACCGCCACCACCTGCTGATGTTGGAGAAGCTAAAATGCTTACAGAATCAGTACTTTTTTCTAATACCTCTAACGTTGTTTGGGTATTCTTCGATGTTGGACTGATAACATCCATTTGGAAAAAATTTATACAAAACAATTGCTCTTGCAACGCAACTGGTTCTAGCTCGGCCAGTACTTTTTCTAGCACTGAGTCGAAGCGGTCGCGATCCGCATTCTCCACGCTTGTGCTCCATTGGTCGCGGTTGACACCCAAGGTGCCGTAAGGTGCCGCCGAAACAGCGGATTTTTTCGATGAAGATGACGTGTCCAAATCTTCACGCGATGTGCGTATTTTTTCCGATATTTGTAGTTTTGCCTTTAGGAAAAATTCTTAATTAGAAGCGAATTGCATAGAAATTTTGGCAGTGTTACCAAAGCAAAGAAATTTTTAATATCACGTTCGTAGATTTTGCTAAGCGAAGTTGTATAAACACGCGTTAGACCATCGTATGTCTTGCGATCCATTGCCTTTGTCCAATGCATAAGCTCTGTATAGGGTGTTAGTTCACGATGTACCGCTAGGTGATTCGGCAAAACGAGTTCTGTGCTCATTGTTGTATTATCACCCAACTCGTTTCCCAAATGTATGAATAGGTTGTTCATAAAACGACTAACAATACCAGAAAACTTTGCCTTCCATTTTTCAAAACGTTTGCGTTGATCTTGCACCGCTTCTAAACGCAGCAAACTTGGATCGATATCGCTGTTCATTGCTTGTTGTAAGCTTTGTGCGGCCGCAATGGCAGCTTTTCTTCCCATAACCGTTTTCAAGTCCGGCTCATCGAGCGCTTGCTGATGTACTTGAGGTAGATCAAGCTGAGACTGAATAAATAAAACTTAGCTTGATAAATATGTTTATGGTTGCCACAGACTTACAATAACTTTGCTTAGTTCCTTCATCAATTTGATATTATTGTTGTTAGCAATTTCTATCATAGCATTTTTGCCGCCAATCTTTTCCATAGTTTCCTTCACATGTCCCAAAATTTCCTCATAGGTATCCAGTCGTTTTTCAAAGCTATCTGCTTCGGCGATCGCTTTATCAATATGCTCCATCAACGCCATTACTTGCTTCTCCGAAGCTAAAACGCTTTGTATATTAGCCTGTAAAAAACCAAACGAATATGTTTAAAAGGTTTAAGATTACATCAGTTAATTACATACACCATCTAAATCGTGCAGTTCTTTAGATAAATTCTCAATAAGTTGCTCAGCATCCTTTACTGCGAAATCACACTCGGAAAATAATTTTCCCAATTCGGTAGCTTCTTTATCTGTAAGAGCCGTAAATTCTTGTGCCTCTTCCTCATCTTCTGTGTCTTGTATGATCTTTTGTTCTGCATTGCGTCCAGCAGCCAACTTTTCTGGAGATTTGTCATTGAGCCATGCACCCGGAACGTTACGGAATTCTGCTCGTTGGCCTCGCACATACTTAAAAATCTGTTTGTACAGCACGGCTAGGAAGTTTTGCCGCTCAAGCAAATTCAACGCATACCATTTATACGTTTTTTCCACTTGTATATCGAATTCATGTGTCTCGAACTGCTCATTGCGCCCATCCACCCACTTGATTTCCTCCAGTTGCCAGGTACGTTTCTTTTTATATTCACCCTCTCGCTGCTCCGATTGTTTTACTATGCAGACTGTGACCACCGGCACAGGCGGTGGCGTTGTAACGATGCATAAATAACAAGCCCTTTTCTTTTTGAAAGTCTTTGTCACAGTCACCACAGATAACACCCGCTCACCACTGCCATTGAATAGCTCTTTTTGTAGAATGTGTTTGATGTTTGCTAAGGTGGTCAGCATTGTTTACGAAGGGAAACTTAATATTTTATGAAATTAATTCAAAACTTTTATTTAATTGCATCGCAAAAACAAGATAAATTACAAATTCTTTAACTTGACGCCCTATTTGCAAAATTATATTTGACAGCGTCAACTGCCAAAAACAGCTGATTGGTGCAAGCGCAGTGCTGGAAAGCAACATGCTGGAAGTGTTCGAAATTAAAATAATTTCTATCATTAAAAAGTTAATTTCATTTTTCTGTGCATTAAAATCATTTAACACAAGCTTTAGTTAAAAATGCAATATAAACGAAATCAGCAACGAAGCATTGATGGATCGCGATCAATATCACAATATTTCTAAATATTTTGAAAATATGGAACACGATCCAAATATCGCGCTCCGTATTAATGGGTGCGTTCCTTAGTGGTAGCTGTTGGGTAACCGTTGGCTGTTTGTCTTAGAAACGCATAGTTGAGTAGTCGGCAACTTTCCGTTATTTTTTCCAGCGGTAAATTTTTACGTTACCTGAACTCAACGTGTTGGGCTTAGCCTAAACAGCTGATCGAAAATACTTACGCCGCTTTGTTAGGGGGCAGTTGCAAACAAATTTATAATATTTTACATTACTGACGTGATAAAGTAACTAAAATATTTTATAGTAATACTACGATTCTAAATATATGTTTTTAAGATGTTTGCTATATAATTTTACACTGTTTAATTCATTGTAACATTGAACGATTTTCTCAACACGGCGGCCGCTCAGCGGTGAATTCTAAATAGTATCGGCGCAACTATTTCTATTTGTTGCAATTTCATTTGTTTACATTGATCAGCTGTTCATTTGGCCGCATATTCATCAAGCTGTTTCTAAGACGTAATTGTTGGGTTCAACAGTTGCCAGCAGTTTCGCAGCAGATGAGCTAAACAGCTACGTCTTATGAACGCGACCAATGGTGTGACAGACGTTTTTCAAGTCTGCTCGTTCGTCGGCGAAGGAGGTGGGAAGAGAGGGGAAGAGTACAGATACCACCGTACCGTCAATTTGTTTCAAGTTTTCTTGTTCTCTTTTGATCTTTTCGTTGTTTCCCATTTAAATATCCAAGGACTTGAATTCAATAAAACTTGACGCGTGTGGAAGCAAAGAGAAAACACAAAAGAGAATGCGATAAAAATTGCTTTCAAGACTTGACGTGTCTGAAAGGGGACTAACAGTAGGAACCAAAAAAATATGTTGTTCGTTCATGCATCCCTACTTCGAAGTCAAATGCCAGTGTCAAAAATTCTACTTCGAAAACTGAAGTGTCAAATGCTTGCTTAATTTTTCTTGTAGTTTTGTCATTCAGCTAGCTTCTGATGTGAGTGAAAATTGACTAATTTGTAAATTTATCAAAATAATAATTTTTATTTTAATATTTTCTTATTTAGCACGAGCTAAATCCTCTACAAACATGTTGGTGCAACATATTCTTAAACAAGGGCTTTTGGTTAAAAATGGTAAGGCGAATAATTCGGTTTAAAAATGTGTCCAATAACCTCTGTTGAAATTACATAACCTTTATCGCCGAAGATTTCTAGTAGGAAAATAGTTGCAGATTCTATTTTTTTAAGAAATTAATATGTGGATGTCTAATTAATATTATCTTCTTTCAGCTGGAGCTGTTTCACGTGCAGCCTACCACGGTGGTCACCATCAAAAGACTACTTTGAATGATCTGCCTGTGCCTGAGGGCGATTGGAAGGAGCACTACACACGCCAGAACACCAAATACAATGCTTGGTTGATCACGGGTGTTCTTTTCTTGGCTGGCACTATCGGCTTTGTAAGACCATTAGCAAACGATGTTTATTTGCTTTGACTAATTTCCTAATTTTACTAAAGGTTAAGACAACCGGAGTTATTGAATTCAACAGCAAAGTACCAGCATCGTTGGATTGAGCAGATGTTAGGCTAAATAACTAGAACCCATTAAAATAAGTCTCTATAATAACCGATGAAGGCATAGTCTTTGCTTAAGCAAAAGTTATTACATTTCAATTGCGAAGAAATAAAAGTCCATGTGAGATCTAGAGTTATATATACAAAGATTTATATTTTATTTTAATAAACAGGCCCGTCGTCAAGATTGTCATCCTCTTCATTATAGGCTTCACCATTGTCAAAGTAACTAACACCATAGTCGTTCTCATCATCCATCTCTTCGTCTGCCGGCGCTTCCTACATTAGAGAGAATATGACAAAGCTTAAATTTGGGAATGAGCATTTCCAACGTACCTCTTCTTCCTCTTCATGCTCAGAATCTGAAGACGCTTTTGTTATGTCTTTATCATCTTCGTTGCGCTCCTTTTCCTCCAGCACCTTCAAGCGATCGTCTATATTTTTTGGCTTTTTGGCAATAATTTGGTCGCCTCCTGCAATACGACGTTTCTTTTGTGTAATTTGCAATTCAGCGGGCATCATTTGCCAAACAAAGTCGGCTTTTGATTTCGCTTTAGCATTTTCAACCGCGCTCTACAAGATATCCACATATTAAATGTTAGCAAAATAATTAAAATTAAATATCTTACCGCCCATTGATCTGAGTAGCTTTGTAAATTACTGTTGATATTTGCAATTTTAGGGGTGAGGAAGTACGGAGAATCACGCATATGATTGAGATATGCTTCCTTCCAGAGTATTTGATAATTTTGTGCCGCTGTTGTCTGTTTAGCACACATTTTAGTCTTACTAATATAAGTATGTAGTTACTTATGTTTTTATTTACCTCAAGTTTTACTGGTTTGGACATCAACGCTGGAAATGTAGGAGGAGGCGCGGTCTGCACTTGGGGAATATCTTTCCCTATACATCCTAATGTCTGCAACTGCTCTTGAGTGAGCGAACCAGTTTTTCCGCGTCCACGCCCTGCCATTCTGGTCTTTAAGAGGTTTTCTTAAATTTTTTTTTATTATTAATCACTTTGGTATTTTCAAAGTAAAAATCACAATGCTTAAAATCGACATCAAAATAAATTAATCGAGTTTAACCTCACTACTTGTTTGTTTTGGTTGTGTATAGGGTTGCCAGAATACAATTACTGCATTTAGGGCATTCACACGAACTGGTTAGGTTAGGCCGAGCTTTCCGTCCAGTTTGCGCAAAAGTATGAAATGCATATCTATTTAACAACCCTCTGATCCACCTCACTCACACACTAAATAGTTTAAGCCTTTTATGATGCAAAATATAAAAAGGTATACCGAACGAGGTAGAATATGCACTCAATTAAATAAAAAGGTTACATATTTATATATTTCAAACTTCAGTGAATTACTAACATAGTTTTATACTGCATACAGATATATTTTAGTAAATATTTAAATGTACATACAAATATAGAATTTATTTATAAAAAATATTGCTTACAATTTGTTCAATATGGGAGCCAATTCATTTGATATATATTAAATAAAATACAATATAAAGTTTAACTTTATACACTACATATAGCTATTATTTTGTTTAGTAATATTATATTGGTTTCAGGAAGGCGATGTTATTGTGTTTTTGTTTGATCTAGTGATTATCACCATTCAACTCATTTTGTATTCCTAATTCTAATTCTCCTGTTTCGGTCAATCCTACTTTCTGCATCAATTCCGAAAGTTTTTGCGCCTTACGATCTTCATTATGCGCAATCACCGTACATAGGTGCTCGGTCAGCAACTCCTTTTTCTCCGCTGCATTATGCAAATCTATTTTTGCTTTCAAAAACTGAGCCTCTATTTTTATATACTGTTTTCTGTAATAAAATGTAATTAAGCAATAATAATCACGCTAACTAACTTCAATCGTACTCGACTTGCGAAAAATATATGCATGCATTGTCAATTTGTTTGCGAAGAATTGAGACGTCGAGTGCCAGATCATCGTCCAATTTGGCAAGTTCCTGCTTGATTTCGGCAATTTTTCGTGTTTCTGCTGCGGTTTTCTGAGAGCTGTAAGGTACATAAATAAAAAAAAAAGATCATGTTTTGCTCATTAAATACACATTTCCGCTCACTGTAGCTCGATAGCTTTATGTAGTAACTCCTTTTTTTGCTTGTTTTGCTCCTCAACTAATTTGCGTTGCGTTTCGAATTCGCGCAGCGATACCCCTTTAAATGGTGAATCAGTATTGAGCTCCTCCGTTGTCGGTGTGGATTTTTTTGATGAAGGAGCGGGCAGTATGGAAGAGTCATTTGTCGAGGTCGAGGATACATCATTAACAGACTCCGGCAACTTTAGTATCGAGGAATCGTCTAATTCGTTGGTATTCGCTTTGGCAGCATTTGTGCCATTGGCTTTGCGTTCATTTAAAGCTTCATTACACTTTCGTAGTGGTTGACAGAAGAGCGCCTCCTCAAGTGATTTAGACATGCTGTCATCAAAACTAATTTTATCCAAGATATTACATTCTGCTTCAACATGTTTATTTGTATCGGATTTTTCGTTTTGCATTACCGTTGGCGCTGATTTCGTCGACTGCGAGCTTGTAATTTTTTTTCTTTGAGATTCAATTGATCGTGACCACTTCTCTGGCATGCGTCTTATACCGCCATGTTGGCCACGAAATGCAGGTTTTACTGTTTATAAAATAGGAATTTAATACCATAAGCATGCGAACATACAAGTTTACATATGTACATTAATGTATACATAGTACTTACCTGCTGCATCCGCTACTGGTTGGCCTCGATTATTACTTCTGCTTTTGGTGCCTCCAGAAACTTTGTTTATCTCATCTTGACTAAAGCCGTCGAATTTACTCGACATATTTATTAATTTCTTCAAAAAATAGCTACTAAATTAGTCACTTTTTACAATATTTAATATAGAAATACTTTAAAGCAATGCAAACAAAATAGGAATGATCATCAACGCAAGAATTAAAAATGCCTACGATTATTTATCAACCAATACAGCAGCGCAAGAAATGTCAAAAACACATCATCAAAAACAATTCACACACCGTCTTCAAAAGAGTCACAACTCAAAATTTGGCATTTTTCAGATTATGCGCTAAAAATGTACGCAGGGCTTTTATTTACCTTTCAGCAAAAGTTCGAGCAAATCTTTGTTATAATTTGTTAAAAAAAAACCTAAGGTAAAGTCGCCCTTGCCCATATGATTATCATGTGCTAAGAAATAGGTTTTCGCATTTTCTGACAAACGTACTATTTTGAGTTGAGACTCTTTTGAAGACGGTGTGCGATTGGTGATCTTCGCGCAGTGTTGCCGCTTCGCATTTTTGAATTTCCTATTAGAATCTTCATTCTACTCGCACAAGAATCATTTAACCCTCAGATCGTGTATGGGCACTAAGGCAAAACTCGAATTTCATAGTAATTTAATATGCACTGTAAATTATGGATATGTACTATGTATATGTGCAGTAGCGGCAGAAATCGTCTGCACTAATCCCTAGTGTATCCATATCGCATACTGTCTTCAAAAGTGGCACAACTCAAAATTTTGCATTTTTGAAATTATGCCCTAAAAATGTAAACAGACCTTTTATTTACCTTTCAGTAAAAGCAGAATCAAATTTTTGTTATAATTTGTTTAAAAAAGCCTTGCTAACTACTTTTTTGACAAAAATTAATTTTGGTTTTAAAATGACGTGGCTTACAGTTCGCAATTGTAGTTCGCAATTTGCAACGGCATTTTTAACTTTAACCATTCTGAATAAGTTAACCACGGACCAATAGACAGACAGAATGAGTTAAACATACATATGTACCTTTGCCGCATCATCGTTTCCGTTTCCGTTTTACAACTGTAGGGTTAAAATACCTGGTATAAATGTACTTTGTATTTTTTGTGTTAAAACATTGTTCATAGGTTTTACATACATACATATATACACATATTCATAGGCCTACGACGACGTTGGATCGCCATCTGTTAACTCCTTTATTTGTAGATCATCTTTTGGGGTAAACTAACTACTAAACTAAGTACTAAACGTTGAGTTTAAATACATTTTCGTTTCCTGGCAGGATCGTCAATATATCATGAAAATATTTTATTATTTTAAATTTTGAATTCTTAATTCTTAATTTTTTAATAGAAAATTTTAAGTTTGCATTTTGGAGACTTTTATTTAAAGAATTTTTAAAACTTCTTATCGTTACCTTAATGAAAAAGGAAACGGACTTTTTGAAGTAGTTTTATACAATATAACGCATTTAAAAAAAATGGTGCAGCACGCAATCACTTAATCCTAAATAAAATAAAGTCTTTCTGAAAAAATTGCAAATGCAGAAATTTATTTTCGTTAAGAGTTTCCTTCTACGGCAATTTAAGGATTTCTTCATGGCATCCACTTTATTTTAAAATCGTCACGCGTAACTCTTTGCGCAATTCCTCTATATCTTGTTCCCAGCGCTCTTCAAAATACACCGGCATCAATGGTTTCATTTGTCTGCCATTTTTTAAAGCCCAAGGTAGATAGCGTGACACATATTCCTTTCGTTGTCTACAATTGAAAATGAAAACAATATCAATAAGTATTTACATATGTATGTGTTTACACTCTTATATGTATGTACATCTGCGTTCAACTAATTAGAAACGAAATTCACAATGATATTGTTTGCAAATTAGGTTAGCAGAAAAAAATGAATCAAACTTCAAAAAATCGGCATCAAAATTTCCAAATTTTCGGGTATGCAGTTCTGTAGCCCATTCAATTGTCTAAGAAAGTGCATGTCTCAAGTCGTTAAAAATTACCGTTGATATTTTAGAATTTTTTTTGTGGAGGGTGTTGCGGATTGTTTTTTTCATATAAAAAAAAAATTTTGATCATGTGTTATATGGAAGAAAATGCGTAACACCCTCCACAACAAAAAAATTCTAAAAAATCAACGGTGATTATTAACGACTTGAGACGTGCACTTTCTAAGACTACAATTGAATGGGCTATAGAACTGCATACCCGAAAATTTTCTAACCATTTTGATTAAAAATTTAGAAATTTTGATGACGATTTTTTGAAGTTTGATACATTTTTTTTGCAATTTTTGCAACCTTGGAAAGTTTTATTATTGTGGTTTCTGTTACAGATTGAATTATATTTTAAATGAATTATTATAAAAAAAAATAAACATAATTTGCAAACAATATCATTTTGAATTTCGTTTTTTATTAGTTGAGCGCAGGTGTATGTATGTTAATGCATATGAATACATAAGCAGGCACTTATTTAGCATAATTTAACTCACTTGGGACGCAGTCGCATCGCGCCAAATATTGCACCACCATAGCACATAGGCAAACCATTATTTAAAGCCTCCACCCATTTGACGGCCACTTCGCCCAACATATTTGTCGGCATTCCCAGGACTGTATGCGCCAAATCATGACATTCGCGATAACGTGTCATTACGTAGGCCAACATCGGATCATTGACAAAACGTACAGCCATGCGCGAATCGGGTGTAACTTGCTGTAAATGTATGTATGTATGTATAAAATTATATTTTACTAAGGGCCAGGTTTTTGGTGCCAGTTTAAACTTAGTTCAGGTAAATTGTGTTCATATCTACCAGCTCGCTGACATTTGATTGGCTAATCTTACTCACTTTACTTACATTATCATCCAAGAACTTGACATAAGCACGTCCGAGTGTATTCTCTGGCAAAGTACGTAATCGCTCGATATCAACTGTGCGTGTGTTAATGCGTGGCTTGTGTTCCAGTAAGCGCTTGCCTTCCGCTGTGGCCTGCATTGTCTGTAGAATATTCTGTAAAGCTGTCTCCCCTGTGGTTTCGCCAAGAGCGGCGATCATGTCGTGTCTGAAATAGTGGAAAAGTTGTATAAATTTTTTGTATACAAAATATAACGTACTCGTATATTAAATATATGTATGTTTACCTTCGTGGATCTACCAGCGCCGCTATAGATGATCCCACGCCGAGTAATAGCTTTTGGAATGGCGACATTTCTATGCGATTTTGAAGAAACTCTTTTGTAAACTC